TTGGGGTTAATGCGCACTGGCGACGGAAGGCCGCCGCCTCCGCATTCGAGCTCTGTCTTTGACAACGCAATGCATTAAGAGAAGAATAGAGAGAAATGAAGATATAGCGTCAGGGAGGGGCGTATGTTTGTCATCGTTCATTCAAACACCTTCAGCAGGTGCTTTCCTGAGCTTTGAACGTCTGAGGAGCTTTCACAATTTGCCATGGAATGTTTTTTAGTCTAGGACTGGGATTAATTGCCGTACAAAGACTGAAAGTGTGTGGTTTGAGTCTCAAACGCAAGTTAATATTACTGCTCAGGTGTTTATTTGATACATCAGGATTTTTTGGCTTATTTAGTCTGATATAGTGAGAATATGGAGGAAGAAACAGCAAAATTTTATTCAGAGGCCCAAACTGAGCAGAAATTTGGTGCAAATTCTGATATTTATGTGGACAAAAAGTGATGAAATCATGATGCTTGTAATGTAAATCAATGAGATCTTAGTAACAATGTAGCAGATACTTACATAAAATTATAAATATCAGTTGTCACTCTAAATCTCCAATAATGTCTTAGTAAGATGAGATTTAAAGGATCAAAACATAATGCAATGCAAACCAACGATGATTGAGAGATAAGAACAAATAAACAAAACAAATGAACAAATAAAAAGATGGATTATTAACTTCAGTCCGGTTAGTGTTCATATTGAAATAACATGCTGAAAGTGGACGTTTGTACAATTACACTAAATACCTTTTACTTGATAAAAAAAAAAGTCTATAGTCAACCTATGCGATAGGCTTTTCAGCAAAGTTTGATCAGGTTGATCATTTAGAGGCCTTGTTTGTATATTAAATATTATACAGTAGGCATAGGGTTAAAGTTCTCAGTTTGTTTTCATTTAACTATCAGCTTTGTCTCAGATGTTTTTCTTAATATTCATTTGTAGACTCAGTTGAGTCACTAGTCGTCTAAAATGAATATGGAGCAGCTCAGATCATTTGATGAGAAATGTTTGAAGTTTATATTGACTATGATAACTTGTTTGAAACATTATTGACACTCTAGGAGTCTCAGTAAGCAAGGAGACGCATGTGAGATTACTATGGTCTTTTTCTCGGGAGAAATATCTGAGGAGTAGGAGATTTGTTCTTCATTTAATCTCAATAATGTCTAGTAAAAGCTATTGAGATATTAAAGAGTCTCATGTGTGATTTTCCAGTCCTATGGGTCTTATAATTGTCTCTATGTGTGTGTGTGTGTGTGTGTGTGTGTGTGTGTGTGTTTGTGTGTGTTCTTCCCTGTGAGTCAGTGTGGTCAGTGTGGTTGTCCGTTCTGAATGCCGTCGCTCAAATGTTATAATCTTCCTCATTTTCGTTTCTCAACAAAAAAGCCAAATAACGTTTATTGCCAAAATGTCTTTTTTTCCGCTGCTGTGTTGATAAAACAAATCAAAACACATTTTTAAGTGCTCTTCACGCAGGTGTCCAGACTGCAGCGCGACACTTCCTCAACACACAAGTCAGATCAGAGTCACACTGAATGTTATGAAGGATTTTGACACATCCGTGTTCACACACACACACTGGGAGCATCTGCATATTCATAGGGCAGTATGGGGTGAGATTAGTTTTATTGTGAATTAATTTAAAATGTAAATTACAGATTTGGTCCCAGATCATCTTGAGTTTGATCCAAAGGTCTCAGCTAGAATTCTAGATGATTCCAAATCACGCACAAATTCAACTGCAGTCATTTTCAAAGTAATTAAACGTATGTAACACTTTATATACACTCACAGACATAATGAATCTGAGGAGGACAAACTATTTGCACCAATTCACATAATGGCCACAAATTCAATTCATGCATTTTTAAAATTACTTTTACTTTTTTAAAAGTGATCAGAAGTGATTATTTTATTATAGATTATAGAAGTGTTCTTTATAAAACCTTATGTAATCATAAGTTTCCTAATAGTTTTAAAATTGTTAAAGGTAATCTTCACCACTTTATCTAAATTTAATAAATGCATTAATACATTTTGAATGGCATGTAAATTCTAATTTACAAAAATAAAAACTTTTTTTAATTAAATATATTTTAAATTCAGTCTCAATATTTGATGCAATTGCCAAGTGAAATGTTTTAAAATAAGTTTCTTCTGCTTACCAAGGTTGCATTTATTTGGTCAAAAATACAGCAAAAATTTTAATATTGTGAAAAATTATTACAATTTAAAATAGCTGGTTTCTATGTGAATATATTGTAAAATGTAATTTATTTCTGTGATCAAAGCTGAATTTTCAGCATCATCCCTCCAGTCTTCAGTGTCATGTGATCCTTCAGAAATCATTCTAACGTGCTGATTTGCTTAAGAAACATTTCTGATTATTATTATGTGAAAACAGTTGTGCTGCCCAATATTTTATGGAAACTGATACATTTTATTTTTCAGGATTCTTTGATGAATAGAAAGTTCAAAAGAACAACATTTATCTGAAATAGAAATCTTTTGTAACATTATATAAATGTCTTTTGATTAATTTAATGAATCCTTGCTGAATAAAAGTGTTCATTTCTTTTTTTCAGTGACACATATACAGTGGGGCAAAAAAGTATTTAGTCAGCCACCAATTGTGCAAGTTCTCCCACTTAAAAAGATGAGAGAGACCTGTAATTTTCATCATAGGTATACCTCAACTATGAGAGACAAAATGAGAAAAAAAATCCAGAAAATCACATTGTAGGATTTTTAAAGAATTTATTTGCAAATTATGGTGGAAAATAAGTATTTGGTCAATAACAAAATTTCATCTCAATACTTTGTTATATACCCTTTGTTGGCAATGACAGAGGTCAAACGTTTTCTGTAAGTCTTCACAAGGTTTTCACACACTGTTGCTGGTATTTTGGCCCATTCCTCCATGCAGATCTCCTCTAGAGCAGTACTGTTGTGTGTGTGTGTGTGTGTGTGTGTGTGTGTGTGTGTTTGTGTGTGTTCTTCCCTGTGAGTCAGTGTGGTCAGTGTGGTTGTCCGTTCTGAATGCCGTCGCTCAAATGTTATAATCTTCCTCATTTTCGTTTCTCAACAAAAAAGCCAAATAACGTTTATTGCCAAAATGTCTTTTTTTCCGCTGCTGTGTTGATAAAACAAATCAAAACACATTTTTAAGTGCTCTTCACGCAGGTGTCCAGACTGCAGCGCGACACTTCCTCAACACACAAGTCAGATCAGAGTCACACTGAATGTTATGAAGGATTTTGACACATCCGTGTTCACACACACACACACTGGGAGCATCTGCATATTCATAGGGCAGTATGGGGTGAGATTAGTTTTATTGTGAATTAATTTAAAATGTAAATTACAGATTTGGTCCCAGATCATCTTGAGTTTGATCCAAAGGTCTCAGCTAGAATTCTAGATGATTCCAAATCACGCACAAATTCAACTGCAGTCATTTTCAAAGTAATTAAACGTATGTAACACTTTATATACACTCACAGACATAATGAATCTGAGGAGGACAAACTATTTGCACCAATTCACATAATGGCCACAAATTCAATTCATGCATTTTTAAAATTACTTTTACTTTTTTAAAAGTGATCAGAAGTGATTATTTTATTATAGATTATAGAAGTGTTCTTTATAAAACCTTATGTAATCATAAGTTTCCTAATAGTTTTAAAATTGTTAAAGGTAATCTTCACCACTTTATCTAAATTTAATAAATGCATTAATACATTTTGAATGGCATGTAAATTCTAATTTACAAAAATAAAAACTTTTTTTAATTAAATATATTTTAAATTCAGTCTCAATATTTGATGCAATTGCCAAGTGAAATGTTTTAAAATAAGTTTCTTCTGCTTACCAAGGTTGCATTTATTTGGTCAAAAATACAGCAAAAATTTTAATATTGTGAAAAATTATTACAATTTAAAATAGCTGGTTTCTATGTGAATATATTGTAAAATGTAATTTATTTCTGTGATCAAAGCTGAATTTTCAGCATCATCCCTCCAGTCTTCAGTGTCATGTGATCCTTCAGAAATCATTCTAACGTGCTGATTTGCTTAAGAAACATTTCTGATTATTATTATGTGAAAACAGTTGTGCTGCCCAATATTTTATGGAAACTGATACATTTTATTTTTCAGGATTCTTTGATGAATAGAAAGTTCAAAAGAACAACATTTATCTGAAATAGAAATCTTTTGTAACATTATATAAATGTCTTTTGATCAATTTAATGAATCCTTGCTGAATAAAAGTGTTCATTTCTTTTTTTCAGTTAATCCACACCACTCCAGTCCATCAGTTAACATCTTGTGAAGCCAAAAGATGTGTGTTTGTAAGAAACAAATCCATAATTATGATGTTTTTAACTTCAAACTGTTGTTTTCAGCTAAAATACAAGTCTTTTATTCCATTTTATTGTTTTCTTCAGTCAAAAAGTCATCTGGTCTAAATCCGGAGAGAAATATGCACAAATCAAACATAATTTACAAGCCAAAACAGTTCCAAAAAATGTGTGGGTGTATTTTGATGTGAGAGGAGAACAAGGGATGGACTTTTCCACTGGAGGAAGCATTATTGTAGATTATGGACTCGCATTTTAGACAGAAGTGACAGATTGAAGTTAAATGGTCTTAATGATGGATTTGTTTCTTACAAACATGCAGCTTTTTTGCTTCACAAAACATTAACTGATGGACTGGAGTGGTGTGGATTACTTGTGGATTATTGTGATGTTTTTATCAGCTATTTGGACCCTCATTCTGATGGCACCCATTCACTGCAAAAAATTCCTTTAAAAATGGTATTTTGTGGGAAACTACAGTTACCATGGTAGATGTTTTGAAGGGTGTATGACGTGGGTGTGTACATTTTGTAAGCGTGATTATGATATAGGATCCATATGTTTGCTCATAACTGTGTGTGCTTGTTCACACCAGGACATAATATTTGCAGTGAATATTCATATACAATATATACATACTCACATATAGAAAAACTTAATTAGTCTAATGACATAAGGCTTTTTGTCCGCCTGATGTTGTGCTTTTATGTCATTTTTCAGTCTAAAATCCCTAGTTATCATTCACTGTCACTGCATGGCGAAGCTTGCAGAGCATTGAAAAAATTCTCCTTTTGTGTTTTACGGACGCAAATGACATGAGGGTGAGTTCATGAAAACAGTTTTTGAGCATGTTCTAAATGGATTGTGTTTAGTATATTAGAGCAAACAAAAACTGGATCGTTCACAAGATGGAAAGTGGATTGCCTGAGTATAACACTGAAACATTGCTTTTTTGTGAAGCTGCTTTGAAACCTTATGTAGAGTATGCTATTGAATTGAGTTGAATAGAATTTAGTTGAATTGCCAAATTAACTGCCAATATATATTTTTTAAATTCTCTTGAGTTCTGGATTATTCCAGTTTAATTTAACCCATGGATAGAATGAAAATACAAGGTGAAATGTCAAAGCAGCAAGTGTTTGGTCCTGATGAGTTATAAATTTGTTTGATGATCTGAAACATTAAAGTGTGACAAACATGCAAAAAAATAAGAATTCAGGCCAACACTTTTTCATATATATATTTGATCATTGATTTGACATTTATTTGACCAAACATACAGCAAAAACAGTAATATTGTGTAATAATAGGCATATTAGAGTTTAAAATAACTGCTTTCTATGGAAATCCATTTCTGCCACAGATTTAAACACATTTTTTAAATGAAAAGTAGATTAATAGATTAATAATACTGTAGAGTAATAGATTAAGATCTAACCTGCCCTTGGGGAACTCTGTTCAACCTGAGAGATCAAGCGGTCTGATGCTGTGGAGCGATTTTCAGCCTGAATCCTGTAAAGGCATTGTTGAACGTCTAAGATCAACTTCACTTTCTCAAGATATCATTCCATCTAGATTTCTAAAACAGATTTTCAATACTGTTGGACATGATCTTTTAACTATTTTTAATACTAGTCTAATTACTGGGGCTGTTCCTGACTGCCTAAAAACAGTAACTCCATTATTAAAGAGGCCCAATCTTGATTCTTCGAATTTTAATAATTTTAGACCTATATCAAACTTGTTATTTCTTTCTAAGATTCTTGAGAAAATTGTGTTGACCCAGCTGCAGACCCATTTGATGTCAAATAATATTTTTGAAAAATTCCAATCAGGTTTTAAGTCTCAACACAGCACGGAAACTACACTTTTAAAAGTTGTGTATCTTGATTTCCAGGTTGGAGAGCTGTGTTGAGTTACAGGGCAAGGTGTTGAAATGGTTTCAATCTTTTTTAACAAACAGAAGTTTTAGTGTTTCCATTGGCCAACATAATTCGTCCTCATGCCCACTTACTTGTGGGGTGCCACAGGGCTCAATTCTTGCCCCAGTTTTATTTTCTATATTTATGCTACCGATGGGTACTATCTTTGAGAAATATGGAGTGTCCTTCCACCTATACGCGGATGATACTGTATTTTCCCTTGCAGCATAAAAGTAAAGAATTCTTAGGACCTCTGTTGGATTGTCTAAACGAATTAACAATATGATTAAAGCAGAATCTTTTAGTGTTAAACGAGAACAAAACCGAAATCATTTTGTTTGGTTTAAAGTCATATGAAGACTGAGCCCTTCATTTTGCTCATCTCTCTTCTTACTTTACACCCTGCGCTAAAAATCTTGGTGTTCTTTTTTATTACAACCTGGGTTTTGAGAAACAAATGAGTGCAGTGGTCAAATCAAGTTTTCGTTTATCGAAAATCAAATCTTTACTCTCTGTAAAACAGTTTGAACAGATTATTCACTTGTTTGTTCTATATCGTTTAGATTACTGTAATTCACTATACTATGGTATAAGTCAGTCCTCTATAATGCATTTACAGATGGTCCAAAATGCTGCTGCAAGGCAGACGGAGGTTATTAATTAATGATTAAAATTTTAACTTTTGTTTTTAAATCTCTGCATAATCAAGCCCCATCATATCTTTCTGAGGCAATCTCTATTCATAAACCAAATAGGTCCCTAAGATCCAGTTATCTTGGTCTCCTCTCTGCTCCTAGATCGAGATTCCTCTGCAGAGGTGATCGAGCCTTCGCTGTTGCTGGTCCTAGTCAATGGAACAAATTACCAGCTTCTATTAGAGCTGCGCCCTCTTTGCCAGTATTTAAATTCCTGCTTAAAAAATGCTGATGCGGATTTGCTGCTCAAGAAACATTTCTGATTATTACTACTGTTAAAAACAGTCATATACTGTATATGTACATCCTTTCTGCATAGAAATACTTACTAAGTTATAGCTACGTAACACACACACACACACTGACATATAAGCATATATGTTCACTGGTTTATGAGTGTAGTCTAGTCCTACATGTTATTTGTTCAGCTGTAGAGTCTACAATCAGGTTTTAAGTCTCAACACAGCACGGAAACTGCACTTTTAAAAGTTGTAAATTATATTTTACTAGAAACAGATAAAGGGAATGCTGTGGCTTTGGTGCTTTTAGACTTAAGCTCTGCATTTGATATGGTTGACCACAATATCTTGATTTCCAGGTTGGAGAGCTGTGTTGAGTTACAGGGCAAGGTGTTGAAATGGTTTCAATCTTTTTTAACAAACAGAAGTTTTAGTGTTTCCATTGGCCAACATAATTCGTCCTCACGCCCACTTGCTTGTGGGGCATGAACATTGAGCCGTACAAATGAACACAACCCAACAAAACTGACTCATTGCATCGTGGTCTTTTTTTTTTTTTGATACCTTTTCCCAAAAAACCCACCCACTCACCCCCGCATACACACATCCATGCCAGAGCCTGTAGACACACTCATTAAGAGACTACAGGTAACACACACACACACACACACCTTCTCATGGCACACCACACTGCAGGCCTCAGCATCTGCCTGCTGACACACACACACGGCCCCTCCACCCAAACACTCAAACAAACACAGCACCCACCCTCAACGCTTCCCTAAAAAGAGTGTCTGCCCACAAAGTCAAGTTCAAACACACTCCAAACCCTCTTTGTTCAATAGACATACACACACACAGAGGCAGGCTGTGGTTTAGGGTCTGGGGGTTTTATTTAAATCCGTAGAACCCTTCAGGTGTTCAGTGATGTGAAGACACCCTTTATGCCCCAACAACATCCAACACATGTGTGACGCCCCGTTTTATGTTTAATTATGACAAAATACTTTGAATCTACAATGGAGTTTGCTGACACTTAAAATGTTTGTCTGTTAAAATGAACAGAATCGTATTCTTTCTACCTCATTTGCATTTATTTATTTATCCATCCATAATGAGGTAAACTATTTACTGTATTACATTAACGGGGATCAACATTGAGAATGAGTACAAAATCTAAAATGTAATTGTAAAACTGTATGTCCTTGCATTAGATGCAAAAAAAAGTAAAACAAATGTTCATGGTTAATGTTATGAACTACATAATATTTCATATTTCACCCCCACATTAAAATGATGAATTTTGCATATATTTTACATATTTTGAACAGATCACTTCCCCAAAAAGAGTGTCTGCCCACAAAGTCAAGTTCAAACACACTCGAAACCCTCTTTGATCAATAGACCGACCATAAACACTCACACACACACACAGAGGCAGGCTGTGGTTTAGGGTCTGGGGGTTTTATTTAAATCCGTAGAACCCTTCAGGTGTTCAGTGATGTGAAGACACCCTTTATGCCCCAACAACATCCAACACATGTGTGACGCCCCGTTTTATGTTTAATTATGACAAAATACTTTGAATCTACAATGGAGTTTGCTGACACTTAAAATGTTTGTCTGTTAAAATGAACAGAATCATATTCTTTCTACCTCATTTGCATTTATTTATTTATCCATCCATAATGAGGTAAACTATTTACTGTATTACATTAACGGGGATCAACATTGAGAATGAGTACAAAATCTAAAATGTAATTGTAAAACTGTATGTCCTTGCATTAGATGCAAAAAAAAGTAAAACAAATGTTCATGGTTAATGTTATGAACTACATAATATTTCATATTTCACCCCCACATTAAAATGATGAATTTTGCATATATTTTACATATTTTGAACTATTTATTTACTATTTATTTACTTATCCAATCTTTCACAGATCATTTACACTGCCTTTAATGTACTTTCATGTACAGTCTTTCTTTTCTATAAGGTACAAATTATTTGTTTTATTACATTAATAAGCATCACCCTTGAGAATGAGTACAAAATCTGCAAAAAATGTACATATATTTGACATATTTAGAACAATTAAGTTTTAATTACTATTTAGTTAGTTATCCAGCATTTTGTAGATCACAATATATATTTTTAAATGCCTTTAATGTATTTTCATTTATTTTAATCTTTGTAATACAGTATTTCTTTCTATACAGTAATAAGGTTTAAAACAATGCATCATCATTGAGAATTATAAGTACACAGTCTGCTCAAATGTTATTGTAAAACCATTCTTACATCACATTGAACTGAATGCAGCAATTCAAGTGGATTTATGAAAAATTTTTAACCGCTTTTTTTTTTTTATCTTTAGTTTCATGAATGACACCCGTTCTATTTAATCCATAAAATATACTTTACTATATTTTCTTTAGATTTTGGTGTAAAGCGTGAATCCAAGGCATGTTTTAGAGAGATTCACTGACAGTTCTAGGTGTGACTTAACAGTCCAAGACCACTGCAGATGTAAAAAGAAGTTTCAAAACCTGTAAGTCACTCCACCTGCTGCGCTCAGTATATTTTTGGAGTGCTAAATGATCTCCCTCCCTCAGAAATCCACTGTGATTTACCAACAGTAAATATGCAATTAGTGTAAATAGTTTGGACGATGTTCACGTCCTCCAAACCCAGACACGATGATGAAGGAACGCCGGATGCTGCTGAAATGCATTCACAAAAGCTTGGGCTCTGCCCAGAAAAACCCCCACAGAAAGCGAGGTTGCAGTCACACCATGCGGTTTTTGTCCCGGCCTGACGCTGGGGGTGATTATGAGCAGGATTCCAGTCTGTTCGGGGCAGGAAAGGAGGGCAGGGGTTTGGTCTAATTAAACATTAGGCTGGTAAAGCCGTTAGTCTTTATGTGGGTTCGGTTTTGGCGAGAGCCAGTGTATCCAGTGAGACTTGATTTCACTTTACGCCCCTCTGACACAACAGGGCATGTTTTTAAGACACGAGCGCAGGGTGTGGGGTGACTGTTTGTTCTCCAACAGTCTTAACTGGGACGCATTCTGCTTCGACCCTCATCGTGCGTTCCATTTTTTGGTTTGTTTTCCTTCCCCTGCCGCCTTCGGCCTGATATCGATCCGGTGGGTTGATAACTAGTCTTGTTCATATGCAAAAACCTGGTTGATTTAAAATTCATGGTTTGAAACCTACACCCACTGAAGCAACTCACGACTGAAATCAAAACACCGTTGATCAACGTCTAAGATGGGTGTGCAGATTACACTGATAAATGCAGATTATTCTAGCTCTTTAACCTTAACCGACGGGTTTTTGATGGGTTTGGCTGCTCTTCTGATTTAATTCATCTGTCGCCACCTTTTATAAACTCCAATAGCATCATAATTAATCACCAGGGTGTGATTATGGGGTTTGACGTTTGATTCTTATAAACCTGCTCTAATTCTTGCCACTTTCCTGTAAATTGCTTTAGTAAAAAGGTGCCTGCTAAAGAACAACAAAAAAAAGAGTTTACATGCATTTGTTCACAATAGCCCTCAAAAATATGTCTTACATAATAAATAAAAAATGAATGAATGTCAGTGCAGTAGATCAAGCGTCTGTATCAGGATCTTTTCTCTTCACTGGCATCACAAGTCTTAATGTGTTTGAATCTGATTTTTAGTGCGGTATGAAGTCGGTTCTGCTTATTTCGTTTACTTGTAGAATGTGTTTTTCTTAGCACTCAATATAGGTCAATGTTTATAAGGTCAGATACGAAACACTGTAGCAAATTCACCTATATTTATGAAAAATTAAATTCACACTAGTGATAATCTGATGATGGAGACTGAATGAATACTGACATTTCATAAGTGTTTCTTTATCTACCTTTCAAAAGTTTGGGGTCAGTAAGATTTAATTTAAAAGAAATGAATATGAAGGATGCATTAAATTGACATTAAAGACATTTATAATGTTACAAAAGATTTCTATTTCAAATAAATGCTATTCTTTTGAACTTTCTATTCATCAAAGTTTCCACAAAAATATTGGGCAGCACAACTGTTTCCAACATTGATAATAAATCAGCATATTAGAATGATTTCTGAAGGATCATGTGACACTGAAGACTGGAGTAATGATGCTGAAAATTCAGTTTTGAGCACAGCAATCAATTACTTTTTTTCTTTTAAATATTTACATAAAAACAGCTATTTTGAATTGTAATAATATTTCACAATATTACTGTTTTTACAGGATCAAATAAATGCAGCCTTGGTGAGCAGAAGAGACTTCTTTCAAAAAAATTTAAAAATCTGTATATATATACAATATAATGTATTTTAAAGGGGTCATATGATGCGATTTCAAGTTTTCCTTTCTCTTTGGGGTGTTACAAGCTGATTGTGCATAGATAAGATCCCTGAAGTTGCAAAGACTAAAGTCTCAAAACCAAAGAGATATTCTTTATCAAAGTTAAGACTCTGCCACGCCCCCCTAAAACGGCTCGTTCTAACACGCCCCCACATATCTACCTCACTATGTGGAAATATTTGCATAATGCCGCCCAAATGTGCACGCAAAGAAAGAAGGCGTGGTTTCAGTAACCGCAGTTAGTGTTGAAGCAGCATGTCAGGGAGACGCTGTGTGTTTCTAGGCGAAAGCAAAAGCACTTTATTTGGCCTTCCGGAAGTAGATGCATTTAGGAATCTTTAAGATGACTTACAACAGAACAGCAATGCATTTTATGGACGACCGTTTCGTGAACCTAGGAGAGGAGGTAATTCTGACTTTGCTATGACAATCTGGCGCTTCTGAATCAGCTACTGTTTTGTTATTAGTTTAAGTATTTGCTATAATACTTAAACAATAATGTACAGTATTTGAAAAATAATGTGTTTTTTGAACATTAAAGCATGTCAACATATTCCGTTACACCAAATACACCAAATAATGATCTTTAAAAAAGCATCATATGACCCCTTTAAATAAATTCTTCCTTCTGTCAGGACATAGTAGAAATATTGCTTTTACATATTTATTTTAATCTTATTTTTAATATAGAAAGCATTGGTCTGAGGACAGAAATGTTTTCATAATTTTGATGAAAAATAATCAAATGAAATGGTGCATTTGTGTTAATTGTGTTAAATAATGACAGGTAATTTTTTAACTCATATCTAAGGAATCAGCAAGTGTCTGAATACAGTATTTGTGTCTCATTTGTGTTGAGTTTCTGTCAGGTGCCCTCACTTCTTTTTAGGAACACCACTGCTTTAAGTTATACTGAAAATTGTCAAATTATTGTTTATGAGAATCTGTTAACGCAAAACACAAAAGAAATTTGACATGTTTTAGCCAGTCATTCTTTTTTGCCGTCTGGCAGCTAACTTAAAAGATGAAGCACCAGATTGTTTCTGCTTTCACAATACAAAAGAGTAAGAAAATTAGTAAATGTGTTTAACAAATAGACATGTGGGTCGCTGAAACAGTGGGACAGTTTGTGGAAATCTGGTCATTTTAACATATAAAGTTGATGACATGATCCTCTGGCTGAGAGCAGCAGAGACGTGGAGGTTTAAAGACTGTCTGCTGAAGGATCTCTCTCACACACACACACACACACACACACACACAGAAAATGTGCCAATCTGTGCTTAACAAGGTGTCCAGACAGGAACTGTAATAGAAAACAGCAATAAAATGTGACTGTCCAACCGAGAGCGACATTCAAACGAGCATCAGTCTCTCAGGAATGCTCATTAAAGAAGAAATTATCCAGAAGCAGAGTTCATTTAACATCTGTGACACGTGCTGAACACCAGCTCACTCTGTCCCTAATGTGTTTAAGGACTGCTTGTGATTTAAAAAATATATCGTTTTTACATTTATATGTTATATATATATATATTTTTTTTTTTTTTTTATAAGGATAATGTCTGTTTTGTAGGTTCTTCAGATCAGTGTTTTTGTTTATGGAATATTCATCTAAACAATAACATCAGAAAACAAAATAAAGATTCTTATCAAGAATCATATTTTGATGTATAGACTTCTTCAGATCAGTATTTTGGTTTATGAAATATTAGTAATATTAAAAATCAGGAAAAATAATATATAAATAAAGATAGCCTTCTTATCAAGACCTTTTTTTTCATGTTTTTGGAGATTAACAAAGATCTGCATGTTTATAAGTGTTTGTTTATGAATAGTAATATTACAAAGAAAGAATGAAACAAGTAAATAAATAGGCTTATTATCCAGAACCATATTTTTTTAATTGTTCTTTAAAGATTAATAGTTTTTGTTGTTTTATAGGTTCTTTATTAATTTTAAACAGGAGGATAAAACAATTAAGATTGGCTGTAGAATAATAATTTGCTATATAGATTGCATTTATTTAATTATTTGTTTATAGTTTTTGCAATCTGTTCGTTGGAAGCTAATAAAAGTTCTAATAAAGTTTAGTTCTTGGTGTTATATCAATTCTTCAGATCAGTGTTTTGTCTTATGAAATATTATTAATATTAAAATCTGAAAAAATAGGCCTATATACACATAAACACACATGGTTTCCTAAAGAACAAAAAGTTAAACTATGTTCTCTTGTAACATCAGACTCCAAAACCCCTTTGGGTTTAATCGCAGCCTGTATTTTTAAGAGTGTGTTTAGTAAAAACTTATTTTTCTGCACCTACATGACTGAATCTGTGAATTGAACTAGATGGGAAAGTGTGTAATAAGGAGCTGTGTCTCTCTGTGTCTGTCTGTCTCTCTCTCACCCTCCTTCTCCTGTACCTGACACCTTCTACATCCTCCATGAACTTCTCTCTTCGGCCCATCTGCCCCCTTACCACCTCTCCCACACTCTTCCAGCTCACCCACCTACTCAACGGGTGCTCACACACTCACCCAGAGCCCGACGCCGCCAGCGGCCGCAGCAGGGGGCCCGACGCAGTACCGCCGACCACCCACAGGGGGCAACACGACACGCATGCATAGGCTATTCCGAGAAAAAAATACACATTTTTAAAGTGGAGTGATTCTAAACTACGTTCAGCATGCTACTTTACTATTTCTGCAGCATGCTTTTATGCATGCACTTTTTTTAGAATGCTTAAAATGTGCAGTATACAACAGATCACACTGTATCCCACAATGCAATGCACTTTTCCGTTCATTTCCAGTGTAATGACGGAAACTTAATGACTTCCAGTCTGTGATTAGAGAGCCATGAGTTGTAAAATATGTAAAACTATTGACAATGCATGCAACTCAAATTAATCACGGAAAATAATGAGGTCATGTGACAACAATGCAGCTTGTTACTGTTTGGAATCTTTTTGTTGCATATTGAATGTTGTTTCACTTAAAAAAGAATAGCAGCCTAGCCTATGCAGTAGGGCCTATAGTCTAGAGTTGCATTAAAGTCTAAACACAATTAAAAACAATTATAGCGTATTATTGTAATTATAAGGGTCTCTGCTAGTGTGGACTGATGGCATATGTTGGACAGCAGTAAGAAATGGACTGAGAACCGCTCACACACACACACACACACACACACACAACCGCTCACACACACACACACACACACACACACACACACACACACTCTCACTCACACACACACACTCTCAATCACACACACACACACTCACTCACACACACACACACACTCTCAATCACACACACTCACACATCGCAGACACAGACACGCACACACACACACACACACACACACACACACACACACACACACACACACACACACACACACGGCGATCGTCTGGCCGGCTTTCTGTCCCCACCTGCTGGCTAAAGAGCCAAACACGCACTGAGTGAGGATTTGTGTGTTTGTAACACCTACTAGTCTTCAATTATGTTTAAATGTTCAGCCGTTTAAGCTCAAAACCGCATGTCAGTCGTCTCTCTGTCTGGAGCCGGACAGAAACATGCTGATGTGTGCTGCTGAAAAACTCAACTGCATTTTTACATTTATTTTTAAAAACAAATGTGAGTGGTGTTTGCCTGTGTGAAACTTGCCCTTGTAATGCTAGAATATTGTGGGAGGTTTCCGGGGCGTTGCTATGCAGATGCTAATGTGTTCTGAATGTTATAGCACATTGCTATGTGGTTTCTAGGGAGTTACTAGGGTCTTATGGGTATTGCTATGCAGTTGCTAAGGTGTTCAGAGTGTTTTAGCACGTTGGCATGTTGTTTCTAATGAGTTCCTAGGGTGCTCTGGGTGGTTTCCAGGGTGTTGCTATGCAGACGCTAAGGTTTTCAGAGTGCTTTTATCATATTGCTAAGTGGTTTCTAGGGAGTTACTAGGGTCTTCTGGGTATTGTTATGCAGTTACTAAGGTGGTCGTTGTGTTTGTTTCATTCTGGGTATTGCTATGCAGTTACTAAGTTGTTCATTGTGTTTTTATCACATTGTTTCGTAGGGCGTTACTAGGGAACTCTGGGTGGCTTCCAGGGCATTACTAAGCAATTGCTAAGGTTTTCTGAGTGTTTTTGTGTCATTGTAGGGAGTTACTTGGGTATTCTGGGTGGTTTTCAGGGCGTTGCCATGCAGTTGCTAAAGTGTTTGGAGTGTTTTAGCACGTTGCCTTGCGGTTTCTAGGGAGTTGCTTGGGTGTTCAAGATGGCTTCCAGAGTGTATTTATGCAGTTGCTAAGGAGTTCAGAGTGCTTTTAGCACGTTGTTATGGTGTTCTAGGGAATTGCTAGGGTGTTCTGGGTAGTTTCCAGGGTGTTGCTATGCAGTTGCTAAGCTATACAAATTATTTTATCACATTGCTATGTGGTTTCTAGGGAGTTGCTAGGGAGCTCTGTGGGATGGAGTGCTTTTATTATATTGCTTTGTGGACTTATTGAGGTGTTCTGGGTGTTGCTATGCAGTTGCTAAGGTGTTCAGAATGTTTTTAGCACGTTGCCATGTGGTTTCTAGGGAGTTGCTAGGGAGTTCTCGGTGGCTTCCAGTGCGTTGCTATGCAGTTGCTAAGGTGTTCCAATTATTTTATCACATTGCTATGTGGTTTCTAGGGAGTTGCTAGGGAGCTCTGGGTGGTTCCCAGGGCGTTGCCGTGTTGCTACAGTGTTTGTTGTGTTTTTAGAATGATGCTAGGAGGGGTGGATTCCAGGGCATTGCTACTAGGCCGTTTCTAAGGTAATCTGAGTGGTTGTTAGAGTGTTGCTATGCTGTTTCTAGGTGGTTGCTAGGGTGCTTTGGGCATTTTCTTACTGAGTTTGTCCTGTTTTAAGTCTGGTGAAGTATCCACCTCTCCTCAACAAGACCATAATCACTACCATATAATGGTTTTCAATTTACATAACAATGACTGTAAAATATGAAATTTACATATGGGAAAATCATATTGTGAGTTTTGATATTTGGGATATGGTCACTCATCAAGTTACATTTGATTGGCCATTGGGCTAGTTTTGTTCCACAAATCTGGCAACCCTGCTGATAGTTCATCTGGCTGTCATTCAGATCCACAGACGGACGAGTGATGTTGTCGTGAGCAGGTGCGGAGGTGGCTGAACGCAGGGCCTGATGTTGTTTATGTTTGGGACGGGGCCGTAGAGCAGAAGGAAGGGAGGTGGCCGTTCTGCATAATTCCACGTTTCAGTTTTTAAACGCAGGCCACAGCCTCACAGAAATATCATCACGCCTAGATATGTGGGGGCGTGTTCGAACGAGCCGTTTTAGGTAGGCGTGGCTGACTCTTAACTTTTATAAAGAATATCTCTTTGGATTTGAGACTTTAGTCTTTGCAACTTTACAGATCTTCTTTATGCAGCAAGAGCTTGTAACACTCCAGAGAGAAAGTAAAAATAGAAATCGCATCATATGACCCCTTTAATTAACATTAAAATGAAAAAAAAAATAAAATAAATAAAATATAAAAATAAAATGTAATTAAAACTACTAACAAAAACTTGAATACTATGTAAGTAATGTTAAAATAATACTGGTTTGTTTGTTTGTTTATCCGTTTGACAATAATTACATTTTATTGTTGTCTATTAACTAAAACTTAAACCATAAAAAGTCAAATAAAAAATAATATATGATATAAAAAATATAAAAACGAAAATTAAATATAGAAATAAAATCTAATTTAAAATATTAACAAAAACTATAGTAGTGCATCAGTGATACTAAAATAGCACTGGTTTATTGTAATGTTTATTTTGTATCTATTTATTTTTATCAGACGTTTTGGTTGCAATGGCAAATTTTTAGGTTAAGTGTTTTTGTAATTGTCAAGCAGCAAATAGGAAAAGAGGACAACGGGTAATAGTGAGTAACAACCAAACAACAAACTTAAACTAGCAAAACTGTCTGGATGCTACTGATTTTTGGCATCATGAAGTCTCTCAGGAGGAAATGGAGATTTTGAGGTGCTCTCAAAGAACGGGGGCCGGTGTGTGTGGAGGCCTGCTCTGGTGACAGGCTGTCCAGGCCGGGCGAGAGATGGAGTGATAGAGAGGATGGAGGAAGAGTCTGCAGGAAGATGGATCACACCAGGAAGATTAATTAGTCTCTGACAGCGACAGCTAAAGTGTTATTGCCATCTGGAGAGTGTGGAACTTCAGGAGACTTCTGAGTGTCAGTGTGTGTGTGTGTGTGTGTGTGTGTAAGACATTAGCTTGGCAGTGCTGTTATTGATGAAAACAGTTCTGGCCAAAATGGCCAAGCGACTGAAAGGTGTCGAAGAAGGACATCACATGCGATGACCTTCACAAACAAAGTGATAATTGTGTGTGTGCGTGTGAACATGTGTTTTTGGCATGTAGAGGGAGGCGACTTTTCACTTGTCTTTTTAAAATCTTCTCAAAATAGGCCTACATAATAGTCAGGGAAGCGCCATATTTAATTTCCGACGGGAATGAAAACGAGGCTGTGAGGGACTGAAGTACAGGGTTGCCAAGTCCGTGGTTTTCCCGCGAAATTGGCCTACTTTTAAACAGATTTCCCCCCCGCGGGTAAAACGTTTGAAATATTGCATGGATTATATTTGGAATATTTGTATTGAGATCTTTTATATCCTACCATTGATAAAACTGCGCTAGATGTTAAGTTTTGTGAAGGAGGGTCACTGGTTTTGAGCTGTGTTTATGATAACTATGAAATAGTGGTTTTTGATTTGTATAAAATAGATATGGTATATTATATTTAAAGTTTTGATAGTTGGGATATCGCCGTTGTGTTGCTGTTTGGGTTGGTTTTGTTCTGCAAACCTGGCAACCCTAGTATTATTGTTTAACAATTGACCGATTATTCAGTTTACGAAACGTCTTTCCGAAAAAAGGTGGACAAAACTCCATAAAACAGTTCATATACAGTATATTACACATTATACACTGCCATACCCTAAAACAAAAACTTCACAAGGAGTGCAGTGCAACTCAACAAATATAATGTGTAGAGGGGTTTTTTTTTTTTTTTTTTTTTTTGGCTACGTCTATAACTAGGTTATGTCTTCATTATAAATTAAAGAAATATATGTTCCAGTTAAATAGCCCAAATGCAAAGTATTACAAAACCATGTGTCTTTTACTGAACTTGCACAAGAGGGCGACAGTGAACAGACAAAGAGCCACAGAGTGCGACAGATGATATTTATGACTGCTAGGGGGCATCAGAAAACAAGGAAAGAGATATTGATAAACGTTGGCTAAATGCACTTTTATATGCCATCTAATATGTGCTAGCTATTATGCGACTGAATATGCTCTGTGTATTGTGCGTGTGTGTGTGTGTGTGAGAGAGAGAGAGGGACGCAGGCTAATCTATCCCTCCCGGACACGTCTCTGTCCACGGGAAACACTCATGACCGGGCGGATTTAACCCCGGAGGACACCCGGCGATCCCCGCAGGCCCGATCGCAGATCTCCGGTGAGTATTTGCGTGTGTTTAGCCGCAGATCTGAAGGTCTCGCCGGTTTGGGGTGTTTACTGTGGCGTATCCAGCGCAGCCTGTAGTAACAGCGCACGACCGGATGGAACGTTACATTGTAACACCTCACAATAGCTGCGATCCGCAACTTTGTATCTTGTTGTTGATAGAATGTGTATCGGTTTGATCTGGCGGCGGCGGCGCTTTGATCACAGAGAAATGACCGATGTCTGGCGTTCTGATTGAACCTGATGACAGCTCAGATTCTTCTGATCACTGTGTGTGTTTTGGTTTTATTGTTGCTGTTTTGAAAGTATCCAGCCATAGAACGAATTTAAAGCAATAAAGGCACAACTGTTATGATTTTTGGAGAATAAACTGTCAGATGTGTTAGTGTTAAGTGATTAACTGATCTGGGGTCTGTCGGTGTCTATATAACTCTCCTCATCTTGATCATCATGAGAGTTCCTGCAGTCTCAGAGCTGGATTCTGCTGACCGGTTCTGGACTGTATTACCGGTTTCATATCACATCGATCTCCGGTGTGGTTGCATCAGACAAGGGCAGGGCCACAAACACACACATATGCCTGCATGCAGTTAAACAGCCCTGATTTCCCCCCCACTGCTTCACCCTCCTCATCAGCAGTGACTCGCAGCTGGGCTGCATTTACACTAGTGATAAATAGGCCCTTTTTTCAGCTGCACTGATTATTTCTATTAAAGGTGTAGTTCACCCAAAATACAAAAATGCTGAATTAAATTTTTTTATTTTATTTTTTATTATCCGAACAGATTTGGAGAAATGTAGCATTAAGTCACTTGCTCACCAATGGATGCTCTGCAGTGAATGGGTGCCGTCAGAATGAGAGTCCAAACAGCTGATAAAAACATCACAATAATCCACACCACTCCAGTCCATCAGTTAACATCTTCAGAAGCCAAAAGCTGTGTGTTCGTAAGAAACAAATCCATCATTAAGGCCTTTTTAACTTCAAACCATTGCTTCTGTTGCTTCCTCTATCTGTAACATTGTCTTCTGTTGTAAAAAAGTCATCTGGTCTGAATCAGGAGAGAAATCTGCACAGATCACACACTGTTTACAAGCCAAAACAGTTCTAAATGAATATGTGGGTGATTCTGATGTGAGAGACAACAGGAGATGGACTTCCCAGGGAAGCGTTATTATAGATTATGGACTCATATTTTGGCCAGAAGTATCCGTTTAAAGTTAAATGTCTTAATGATGCATTTGTTTCTTACAAGCACACAGCATTTCACTTCACAAGATGTTCATTAATGGACTGGAGTTGTGTGGGTTATTGTGATGTTTTTATCAGCTGTTTGATCTCGCATTCTGACGGCACCCATTCACTGCAGAGCATCCATTGGTGAGTGATGTAAGTGAATATTTTTGGTTGAACTATTCCTTTAAGAGTGTCTGTTATATTCATTCACTCTCTGACCTCCAGCTGTCCGGTTCATTTATGAGATCCTGGATTTGTCTGATTCGGCATATAAAGCAGTAGTTATCAGAGAGTCTAGTCTATACTGTTTGCTGTTACCAGCATTGTGGCCAATAGTTTGGATGTCAGGTAGGCTATATTCAGCATAATTGTACTAATTACATGCTGTATGTAATCATCTTCATCTCTTACTGGGGCATTAGTGCATTATTTAGCTGTGACTGTGCATGCCTTTGTAATCAGAATAATTATCCGATTCTAGATCAGGGTCAGACACATTTGCTGTGTCATATTCTTTGTTGCATAATTATGACTTGATTACATGCAATAGATCTGCATGCGTATACATATATAATGGACCAGTGAGGCTGGCTGTCACAAAGGTATGTAAGAGTTTTGAGTGAAATATCTTGTTCATGAATGAAAACCTCTCAAATCTTTGAATGTTGACAGTTCTTTTTTTTTTTTTTGTGGTTGCATAATTGTAGCACTGATTAAATCTAGCTCCTAGCTCTAGCTCCTGTCCTGTTATTTATATTTATTATATTGCTGTAGTCAAAGATTCATGCATGTTTTGGTGATGTAACTGCAGTCAGTTTTAAATATATAGGGGGAAATATTTGAAGGGATTGGAGCTGTCTCACAAATCACTGTGAATTTCTCAGGATGTATGGAGGTATGTATGTGTGTATACAGAGAGAGAGACATGTCTACACAGGCACATCATATAGCAGAGCAATTTCACTCTTCATAATAATATAAATGCTAAATTAGCAGCATAAGAATGTCCTTTGACTGTATACACTTATAGTATCTGTAACACTTCAGTCTGACTCAATCAATCTCAGAGCAGTGGATTCAGTGTGATTGGATGTGAAAGATTACATTCTGTCCTGTGTGTGTGTGTGTGTGTGTGTGTGGCAGGTTTGGTGAGAATTGTGTGCACGTTTGCAGATTATGGCTGGACTGTCAGATCTGATGAGAAAACTTTAAAAGCTCTATACGAAAAAGCAATAAAAAACTTATTAGAGTTCATTAATTTGTCTCATAGTCATGAAGATTCAAGATTTTTATTTGTCACATACACAGTTATATACAGAATACAACCTGCAATGAAATATTAATCTTGTCAACTGCTTAGACGGTGTATAAAATATATAAAAAGATAAACATATAATGAAATTAAATAATGAAAAAATGAGTAAACCTAAAATAGTGCAAAGACTAAAATAGTTAAAATTGTCAGACACATAATGGCTGTTTTGCTGAATCGTGTTGCATAGCTCAAGATGCTCTGAAATTTAAATACATTCCGTGGATTATCATATTACTTCCTAAGTAACATTCATTTACATTTTTAAATAATGTTCAAACATTCACAGACAGCTTCATGTTCTTTACCATTTTGGTTTGCAATTACATTTGACTAAAATTAATTTATGATGAGGGATGATGTATACTGTGAACACTAACATCATAATGCACTTATGTAATTTCACCTCTTGTTGTATAAAATCTATTCCTTGACAAGAGAGGCTTTGTTTGTCTCATAGAGCAGTGCTGATAGGGCTGTTTTAGCCGCCCACATTTGTTTATCCAATCCCTGCTGCTCTCATCATGAACTAAGATTCTGATTGGCTCAGTCCGACATTGTCTGTGCTTCTCATTGGTCGTTTGTGGTGCTGTGTGAGTTGGAATATGTTCACTTCCTGCTTCTTCAGCCAATCAGAGCTGCCGAATCTCATCACATTCCATTGGGATTCAGATCACATCATGAGTGTGTGAGAGAGGTAGAGACATCGGTGTATGTGTGTGTGTTGTCTCTCCCTTTCCGGCTGTAATTGAGTTTTGTGGGCCTGTAGTTAAAAGACTGTGGTCGTTTCATATCTCGCATGTTCAGCATATTCTCATGTTACTGTGCTTGTTGTACAGAAAGACCATTTAAACAGCAGTTTTATATTGACAGTCTCTACAGATACATTGATAATTGCTAAACTGGTAAACTAAACTCCTATGGATTATCCTGGCTGTATGTTTTACTATTTATTATTTATTTTAAATGCAAATGAATAGTGTCAATGCTTATGTATCCTGGATAATAGTGTGCATATGTGCTGCTGAACACAATAACCTTTAGAGTAGAAATTAAAGAATTCGACGTTGCATTGTTGTAGATGACGTTGTTCATTGTAGGTCATACAGTACGGAGAGTGCGGCATTATCTGTCTTAAAAAGCTTTTATATGAGCTTCATCGGTGGTTGTCTGTCATTGTAGATGTTGTTTTGTTTTGTTTTTACTTCTGTTTGGTTGTACTTTAAATGATTAGAGAATAAATTCTTGGTGTATATTATTTGAAGATCTGTTTGGTTGTAGTTTAACTAGATTAGAAAATAGTATCCATACCATAGTATCATGGTACTATGATAAACTGATTATATCAGCTAATCAGCCAGTATTTGACCATTTTAAAGGGGTCATATGATGTTGCTAAAAAGAACATTATTTTGTGTATTTGGTGTAATGAAATGTGTTTATGCGGTTTAAGGTTCAAAAAACACATTATTTTCCACATACTGTACATTATTGTTTCTCCTCTATGCCCCGCCTTTTTGAAACGCGTCGATTTTTACAAAGCTCATCGGTCTGAAAAGTGAGGTGTGCTCTGATTGGCCAGCTATCCAGTGCGTTGTGATTGGCCGAATACCTCAAGCATGTGATGGAAATGTTACGCCCCTTACCATATTGTGATGCCGTGTCCGGCCGGAGCGATGAGACAAAAACATTAAAACCCATTATAAACGAGGCATTTGTTGCATCCAGTGGGGACTTATACTGTCTTTTTACGTGTTGCATTGCATCGCAATGAACTATGAACAATGAACCAAAAAACCATGTTTGCATTTGTGATCGGAGAAATGACAAACTACAAACTCTACTCTACACTGCTCAAAACTCGCGTTTGAATCGTCAGTGGCAAATTCTTTAAATATAAAAAACGTAATTACAGGCTGTGACTCAGAACAGCCGGCATTGTAGTCTACTCTCCCAGGATCAGGAAACAGTCCTCCATAAAATGCGCTGCACACATCTGAATATTTCAGTTGAACTGTTCTGGAACAGTGTTGTAAATACAACTTAACCACTGATTTCTAGTCATGTCCTCTTTTGGAAGGCCAAACAAAGTAGTTTCACTTTCACAACAAAACACAGCGTCACACACGGCGGGCTTGAGTGAGCAGCGGCCGGTAGGCTTGCGGCAACCGCATGTGACAACCCCGGGCTGGACTCCGCTTCGTCCACGGTGAAAGCCGATCCAGCGATCCACAGCGTCAAGTTGATGTATTTCCTCAGCGACCAGCACGGATCAGCTCCAGGCATGACGAAGCAGATATCATCCTCTTTTGGAAGACCAAACAAAGTACTTTCGCTTTCACAACGAAGCACACAGTACCTTCACGATATGGCGGCAGCAACAATACTACAACGAGAATAAAAGTTACGCCTTCTTTCTTTGCGTGAACATTTGTGCGGCATT